CTGGTCTGACATACCGTGCAGATTGTAGGGGGAACCAGGAGTTGTTGGCGGCGGCGTGTGGGTGGTGGTGCAGTTGTGTGTGTTATGTGGTCTGTGGTGGCTATGGTACGGTCTGTGGTGGTAAACGGGGTTAGATCGCCGAAACAACAGCCCTTGGTCGGGTGAAACCCGAGTCATTCCGGTACGTAGAACCGGCTGTCGCTTCCACTGCTCTGCATTTGTCGATTGCATTGCCTCTTCATATGTTACCGGCTCAATCACGGTCGCAGAACATACAGTTTCAATCAAACGCTCTGGTGGCTTGATTTCTTGTCGTAATTCATACCTTTGGCTGTTTCTTTGGCCTACGTTGTCTTCTTGTGCGTCTTCAAAATGATCATCATCGCTGGTAACAGCTTCACTATTTGGTGCTTGATGCTGAACAATTACCTCCTCTTCACTATCGGAGCTGTCCCGAATTACGAACCTTTTTGAATCAACTTCATGGAAACGAACATCACAGCTGAGAAAGATCTTTTGGTTCTCTGGATCATATAAGCGAAAATTCTTGATAGTGGGCTCAAAACCAACTAAAGCACCTTTTTTTGCCTTTGGATCCCACTTCTTCCGACCCTTTTGTACTGGAACTTGTACAAAACATTCAGTTCCAAAGATCTTGATATGACCCAAGTATGGTTTTCGACCAAACCACTTTTCGTATGGTGTGCTGCCAATACACTTGCTATTTGTTGTACGGTTCAACAAGTATGTGGCTGTTCGTACCGCCTCAGGCCATAAAAACTTGGACAATGATGGATTCTATTTTCTCGTTCAACTAGACCACTCTGTTCCGGGGTATATGGTGTGATGTATTCAATTTTAATGCCTTCATCGCTGAGTAATTTCTTGACCCTTTGATTCACAAATTCCGTCCCATTATCAAAACGAACGAATTTAATTTGAGCACCATTCATATTGCGAGCCATGGGGATGAACGATTTCAAACATTCATATACCTCATCCTTGGTCTTCAGCAAATACGTAAATCGAAAGGTTGTTGCTTCGTCTTTAATAAAAAAAATAATAATTGTAGCCGCCAATTCCACTCTCTTCCATGGGACCGCACACATCCATATGTAAATACTCCCCCCGTTTCGTCACTCGCGCGCACTGCCGTGCGCTGTGATAATCCTTACCAAATAGGGTTCTCCTTTTGGTTTGCACCCATGATACAAAAAAGAAGGTAGTTCCATTTAATGACATTCGTTGTTGTTGCTAACCATTTGACTTTTAATAAAATTATGACATTTCATAAAATTCATGCTACCTGATCACCAGAGATAATATTTTTTTTTTTTGTAAAAGTAAACAAAAATGTATGAAAATGAGTGAAGTTTAGTGAAGTTATTGAACATATATGAAAGGAGGGCTGCATGACCATCCGTCACCTCTCGAATTCAAGTACAGATTTCGATCATACCTTCTAGGTAATTTTTTACCACTTAAAGAAATTATTGTTGTTGTCATAAAGATTCTAAAATGTATGCATGAACTTTATTAGGGCGAAACGAAACTATTTTGAGCACGGAAACAAATGTTGAGTCTTCAAGTGAAGTAATGTTAAAATTTGAAGAGGAGTTGCTCAGTGAAAATGTTTTCAAACCACTTAACGATATTGAAATATCCGCAGAAGAAGAACTCGAGGTAAACTCCTTACCCTTTCGTTTTTATTTGATTTCTAATTTTTTTAAGTAGCTCGCAGAAGAGCATGAAGCAGAAGATTTCATCAGTCCACTCAAAGATGTGGAATATGATGGACTTGAAAATTTTGCCGGCTACATAATTTCGAAAATGGCGTTGACAAAACTAGGCTTCAGGACGCATGAAAAAGTGATCAAAATTATACGTATGTTAACTGTTTATCGGAGGGCGGTCTGTACAAGCCTAATTCAAGTTTTTTGCATACATTGGAAATTTTGAATTCAAAATTTGTTGAAATTAATGGTGATTCGCTAACCACAAAGCCAAAATTTTTGCAAAATCTGATGAGAAATTTAAAAGTAAATTTGGACCAAAATATTATAAAAAGATTTTATTTGGGAAGAACATTCTTTAGAATTCGATTTTTAAATCGCAAGATTAAAGAAACGAAAATTGTATATCAAAATAAGAAAATGAAAAAAATAACAACATAATGCACTAATGGTTTTTATTATAAAATAAAAAGAATAATTACAATGTAACAGTTTACATTTTATATATTTTTAATAAAAGAGGGGCAAACCACGTAAGTAAAAAAATATCAAGTACTGATTGTGAGTTTTGATTTGAAATATTCTCACATTGGTAAAAATATGGGAAAGAAAATACTCCGATGTATTGTTTTAATATTATCAAAGTGGCAAGGCCGTTGATAATACTGACAATTTATGAAACTTCAAAAAATTTTATTATCCGTCAAAAGTTGTTTATTGAAACTACCTTCTTTTTTGTATCATGGTTTGCACCAACTTGGGAAAGGATGAGGTAACTAGAATTCCCTTTCTGTGTGGTAAACCTGGGCTACCGCCCCAGTGATGTCTATTATGGTTATGATCAGGTCTAAAACCCCTATCGATCCCAATACAACCATACCCCACACCCGAAAGAAGCTACAGGGACAGTAAATAAATATTTGCCATGGAAAGTTTTATATTTTTAATGCTTACTGGGTTATATGTTATCTTCATTTGTCTCTCATTCTTTTGCATATTTTGGAGTTTGACAGCTGAACTCCGCCATTTAATTTGCATATGCAACCAAAGTCAGACGCGTGATTTTGAAGGTGTTTTTATTTAATGAATT